TATTATTATTATTATCTTTAAATAACACTTTTGAATTTTTAGTAGTATCTTGTGTCAGTTCTAAACACTAAGTTTATTAGGTTACCCTTTTAGTTATAGGCAATCAAACTATTAAATGAAAACGGTCGACCGTCAACTTTTATACTGAATAGTGTTTTTTTTGTAAACGAATCACTCATATCTTTTCTATTCATTAAATCTAAAAAAATGGAGATTTTTTCTTAGTGCTCAATAATTACAGATCTGATGCATAATTACTGATCTTATCAAAGTCCATTGTTTTCAGTCTGCATTATCCCAACGAATGCATAGAGGAAAATCAGACATATTTAGTGTGCTTGAAAAACGGGGGCGGTCTATGATAAACAAGCTAGAAAGAAAACAATTGGATTTTGATAAGATCAATATCTATACTAGATAATCACATCGGCACGCAGCATTCGTAGGTATAATGCAGGCAGCTGAGGGCGTAGCCCGAATGCTGCGTGCCTCAGTAATTATCGATCTATTAAATAATAGTCAAACAAACGGCCGTTGGTTATATCAACACATATGCAGCTCCAGCTTGAAAGGATTAACTGAAGTATGTTTCTTTCCTTTAATGAAAAAAAATATCCTTAGGAAGAATTTCATGTTCAGCTCTTAAGCAGCAGCAGCTACACCTGGGTTTTAAGTGACTATCCTAACCTGGCCAAGAACCACCCCAATGGCTCTGGTATCCAAAGCCCACCTTTCAGGTTACGTGGCGAAAGACTGCGCTTGTCTTTGTACCCAAATGGAAAAAGCGCAGGTGCAAAAGAGTTCGTATCACTGTATCTGAAGAAGGTTGAAGAAGATTCACAGTTATTAAGTGACACCTCGCCCAATACATCCAGCAACAAATCAGCAATCCCTTTCAGGTAGTATAGCCTTGCCTTGTGATCAAAAACAGAATACAAACATGCGAGTACATTTTGTTTATATTGCTCATTTTTTTGACAGACTGACTGTGATGAGCCAAAAGCCTGATACTGACCATATCTCCTATCAAGACAAACATGTATTTACTAAAAAATCAAACAACTGGGGATGGCTAAAATTCATGAAATCATCTGATACAATTTTGTCATCTTATTGTGACAATGACAGACTAATAATCCAATGTACAATACAGCCAGATAAACCACAATAGGTTCTATGTTACACAGATGTAGATGATGGCTAGTGAACACTAGCGTGGACTGCGTCAGTGTTTCTAATGAAACAAGTTATCGTAGAATTATAAGTTGAACACCGTAGTGAAAATAGAAACTGACGTTTCGGACGTTAGTCCTTCGTCGGAGTCAATCAATTGATTGACTCCGACGAAGGACTAACGTCCGAAACGTCAGTTTCTATTTTCACTACGGTGTTCAACTTATAATTCTACGATAACTTGTTACACAGATGATGTACTTTCTACAGCCTACTGTAACAGTACCAATGGTAGTCTAACCATCCAATGTACAATACAG